CACACACTGATCCCTCACACACTGATCCCTCACACACTGACCCCTTACACACTGATCCCTCACACACTGATCCTTACCTGAGAGTCACCTGAGGACTCAGCCAGCTCTCACTGTGCCAACCAGCTGCCAGGGAGGGTTATAAAGTCGAAGTACTATTTGTCAGTTACCACAGAAAACCTAAATAATCCTAGGAAATTTTGGAAAGCAATAAAAATCGATATCCACCGGTGATATCCGTAATGAGCTACCTCCGTGCCTTACCACAGCATCTGGCTCTATATCGGACAGGGCTACTATGTTAAATTGCTTTAATGAGCATTTTGTGTCCTGCGGTTCTATGTTTGATTCTGTCACTAATTCTGCTTCTGTGAACACCCCAATCCGTGACTCTGAACAATGTGGTCTGGAAAACCCTTTCAGTTTTACTCCTTTTACTATTGGTATTGTTCATGAAGCCTTATCCAAGTTAGATCCTAAGAAACCGGCCGGCCCGGACAACGTAGAACCTTTCTTTTTAAAGATAGCTGCAGATTTTATTGCTCTTCCTCTCACTACTCTTTTTAACCTCTCCCTCAGCACGAACACTATTCCAAAAGTATGGAAGTCAGCTTATGTCCTGCCTTTGCTAAAAGGTGGGGAGGCCACCTTATTAAACAATTATAGACCCATCTCTAAGTTGTCAGTTCTGGCGAAGGTGCTTGAATGCTTAGTGAGTGAACAGGTAAAGGAGTTTTTATGTAACAATGACATCCTGTCTAAACATCAGTCAGGCTTCAGAAAGCAACACAGCACCATCACTGCCACAATGAAAGTGGTGAATGATGTGGCGAGTACTTTAGACAATAAGCAGAGTTGTGCAGCTCTATTTGTTGACCTTTCCAAAGCGTTTGATACCGTCGATCATCGCATCTTAAAGCAGAGGCTACTCAGTATCGGCATGTCCCCATGCAGTGGGTGGTTTGTGAACTACCTCTCTGAAAGGTCCCAATGTGTTCACTTTGATGGGCTGTCTTCTGAGTGGTTAAACATTGCTAATGGTGTTCCTCAAGGTTCTGTTTCAGGTCCACTTTTATTCTCCATATCAACAGTTTAGGTGAAAATGTGGATGAAGCTACTTTACATTTGTATGCGGATGATACCGTGATGTACTGCGCAGGTCCCTCCATTCAGGAGGCTGGTGTTAAATTACAGGCTGTTTTTAACATTATTCAGACTCAGCTCTCTGAACTTAAGCTTCTTTTAAATGTTGATAAAACCAAGGTAATGCTCTTTTCTAAAGCTAAAAAGACACCAGAGCCTGTTTTGGATATTGTTACTATGCAAGGACAAGTACTCAAAGTGGTTACCTTTTACAAATACCTAGGTATCTGGCTTGATGATTGTCTTACTTTTAAACTGCATGTCAATAACCTGCTTAAAAAGCTGAGGGTTAGGCTAGGTTTCTTCTACAGGAACAAGTCCTGTTTCTCGCTTGAGGCCAGGAAGAGGCTCTGTGACCTTTGACCTGTGCTGGACTCTGGTGATCTGATGTATATGAATGCACCTGCCCATTGCCTGGAAAAGTTAGATGCCGCCTATCACAGCGCCCTGAGATGTGTCACTAACTGTAAAGCACTTACTCATCACTGCACCCTGTATGCCAGGGCAGGTCTGCCTTCACTAACTGTACGGAGGCTCAGTCATTGGTACACGTTCATCTATAAAGCCAGGTTGGGTAAACTACCTTCTTATATCTGCTCTCTGATCTCTCGACGAATTGAAAGTACGTATTGCCTGAGATCTCATGATGTTGTTTTATTAAATGTGCCAAGTGCTAGGACTGTCTTAGGGAAGAAAGCTTTTAGTTGTGCAGCTCCACTAACTTGGAACAGTCTGCAAACATGTTTCAAACTGAGCACTTTGGTTCCCCTGCATCACTTTGAAACTCAGCTGGGTGACATGCTGTTTGATACTCATGGTACCTGTCTCTGTGAATAGAGTTTGTAAACTGTACCCTGTACATTATGTTGTTTGTCATCCTTATTGTTGTTCTGTTGTTTCTATGTTACATGTGTAACTAATGTCCTGCAGGTCACCTGAAGAAGAGATCTGTTGATCTCAAGGGGCTTCACCTGGTTAGATAAAGGCTACCAACAAACAAACAATAAATAGCCTGGGATCCAACACAGCACACACACACACACACACACACACACACACACACACACACACACACACACACACACACCCTGCTGAGTCTGCTTCCTGTGGCTTTGTTCATGTCTCATGGACACCTTTTACCCTCAGCAGGGGTTTGTTGTCAGACATCATACGCACCTGTTAGCATCCCTCAGCTTTACCTGTCACAGTGTGAACCCTACACAGGAGCTTAGTGACAGGAATACATCACAGCCTGATGAAGGAATACACACCATCATCTCAGGGTCTCCTGCAGTCACTGTGTGAGTTACTCAGCCAACAGTTCAGAGACATCTTGTTCTTATTAGCCTTCTTTCATTAACTCAGTCGTCACACAGAGCTCTTTGGAGGGACATTCATTAACACGAAGACATACAGTATGCTTATTCAGGTGTATCATGTTGCCAGTGTGGTTCATGATAACCTCCAGGGGGTCTGTAGGGAGGAGCAGAGCTTTAACCTGAGGATGAAGCTGAACACAAAGTGGATTCCCTCAGGAATAATCCTCTTCTGCTTCTTATCTCCTGCTCTCGCTAAAGAGAGGTCAACGCTAGGCTGCAGGTGTGTGTGTGTGTGTGTTTCTTCAGAAGTGTGTGTCCTCTGTATGCACCTGTAGTGTGCAGTGTAGAAAGATGTATGACCAGAGCTGCACAGCTGCTCTTTAACTCGTCACAACTGACTTCTTATTGTTGAATATATTGTAGTCATTAGCAGCACAGATGCTACTAAATGTCTTCATAAGGCTACCTGTTGTGATTCGGATTTCATTCACAAAAATCTCAGTGAAGATCAGAAAGAGTCTGAAAATCATCTTTAGAAACCAAAGATGAGAACATGACAGTCAGAGGGAAGTTAAAGTGAAACTGTCGACAGGATGTTAGAGGAAGACATCTCTGCTGCTGTCAGCTGAGATCACAGAAACAGATCTGAGGCTGAAGGGAAGCCGTTTGAAAGCTGATGAAGGACACATTCCTCTTCCTCCTGCATGCCACTGAAGAGGAAATACATAACCAACCATCTCCCAGCCCCCCCCCCCCCCCCCCCTGTGGTTGCTGTGCAGGTTGTCAGTGAGTCCAGATGTCCGGAGACTCACCGAGGAAGCGGAAGGTCCTGCGCACCAGAGGGTTGAGGTAACAGCAGTCTCCGGTGGCCACCGTCTTCTCTGAGCGGTCGAACTCTTTGGAGGTGTACTGGACCAGGAACAGCACCGTCTCTGTGACCGTGATCTGGAGGAGAGAGAAAGCCGTCAGTCACCCTGAATCAGAGCTGGGCTCAGTGGCGTCTACACACAGCGGCTACACACAGCTGCGTCTACACACAGTGGCGTCCACACACAGCTGTGTCTACACACAGTGGCGTCTACACACAGCTGCGTCTACACACAGTGGCTTCTACACACAGTGGCGTCTACACACAGTGGCGTCCACACACAGCTGTGTCTACACACAGCTGCGTCTACACACAGTGGCTTCTACACACAGTGGCATCTACACACAGTGGCGGCCACACACAGCTGCGTCTACACACAGCTGCGTCTACACACAGTGGCGTCTACACACAGCTGAGTCTACACACAGCGTCTACACACAGCGTCTACACACAGTGGCGTCTACACACAGTGGCTTCTACACACAGTGGCGTCTACACACAGTGGCGTCTACACACAGTGGCTTCTACACACAGTGGCGTCTACACACAGTGGCTTCTACACAAAGTGGCGTCTACACACAGCTGAGTCTACACACAGCGTCTACACACAGTGGCGTATACACACAGCTGAGTCTACACACAGCGTCTACACACAGCGTCTACACACAGCGTCTACACACAGATTATTTGTATCTCTAACTCTGGGTCCTGGATCTGTGAGGAAGTCCTGCATGTCGCACTTTCTAAATGTTAAAGAGTATGACCACCAAAACCTACTCAGAACCAAAGAGATCTGCAGAATCAGAGACCCCCCAGCCGGCAGGACGTGGTCACCACGGGGATCCGGTCTGACAACCTCCTGTTTCTACCTCAATGAACACAGAGGCATAATGTCCTGTGTGTGTGTGTGTGTGTGTGTGTGTGTGTGTGTGTGTGTGTGTGTGTGTGTGTGTGTGTGTGTGTGTGTGTGTGTGTGTGTGTGTGTGTGTGTGTGTGTGTGTGTGTGTGTGTGTGTGGTGTGTGTGTGTGTGTGTGTGTGTGTGTGTGTGTGTGTGTGTGTGTGTGTGTGTGTGTGTGTTGGTGCTGGGTACTGAGGCCTGGAGCTGCTACAGTGATGTATTCAGGCCGACAGGTGAGGGGGCAGACCAGGTAAACTGAACCCAACAATCCTTAAGGACCAGTACTGACCTGGTCTACAGACGGGGGTCTCCTGCTGGTGTTTAAGGAGCAAACTAACTCTGCGGGGCCTTAGCTATTACTTACATGTGATGCTCTTACAAAGGTATAAATCACATCATGATTAAAGCTGCAATACATCGTAACTCTTTATTGCTCTCACACACTGGCTCTGCTCAAGGAAAGGCAGAGGAGGCTGATCTCCAAAAGCCGGAGCTGTGACAGCCTCAGGGCATTTGTCCCACTTCCTGTTGGCTCTAACTGGAGCTGACAGGGCCGCAGTGACAATCCTACCCCCGCCCCCATCACTGTAGAGCCCCTCCCCGGTGGCTACAGAAGACCCTACAATGATTCACTACTCCATCCCTCTTCCTCTGGTCAACCCTCTTCTTCCTCTGGTCAGATCCTCCTCTTCCTCTCCATCAGCAGTTTAATACCGGCTGCAGCCATCAGGATGCTGACAGATTTTTGTTCAGAAGTGTTCAGATGTGTTCAGAAGTGTTCAGATGTGTTCAGAATCAGAAGTGTTCAGATGTGTTCAGATGTGTTCAGAATCAGAAGTGTTCAGATGTGTTCAGAATCAGAAGTGTTCAGAAGTGTTCAGATGTGTTCAGATGTGTTCAGAATCAGATGTGTTCAGATGTGTTCAGAATCAGATGTGTTCAGAAGTGTTCAGATGTGTTCAGATGTGTTCAGATGTGTTCAGAATCAGATGTGTTCAGATGTGTTCAGAATCAGAAGTGTTCAGATGTGTTCAGATGTGTTCAGAATGAGAAGTGTTCAAATGTGTTCAGATGTGTTCAGAATCAGATGTGTTCAGAAGTGTTCAGATGTGTTCAGATGTGTTCAGAATCAGAAGTGTTCAGATGTGTTCAGATGTGTTCAGAAGTGTTCAGAATCAGAAGTGTTCAGATGTGTTCAGAATCAGAAGTGTTCAGAAGTGTTCAGATGTGTTCAGATGTGTTCAGATGTGTTCAGAATCAGAAGTGTTCAGATGTGTTCAGAATCAGATGTGTTCAGAAGTGTTCAGATGTGTTCAGATGTGTTCAGAATCAGAAGTGTTCAGATGTGTTCAGAATCAGATGTGTTCAGATGTGTTCAGAATCAGAAGTGTTCAGAAGTGTTCAGATGTGTTCAGATGTGTTCAGAATCAGATGTGTTCAGAAGTGTTCAGAAGTGTTCAGAATCAGAAGTGCTCAGATGTGTTCAGAAGTGTTCAGAAGTGTTCAGATGTGTTCAGATGTGTTCAGAATCAGATGTGTTCAGAAGTGTTCAGAAGTGTTCAGATGTGTTCAGAATCAGATGTGTTCAGATGTGTTCAGAATCAGAAGTGTTCAGATGTGTTCAGATGTGTTCAGATGTGTTCAGAAGTGTTCAGAAGTGTTCAGATGTGTTCAGAAGTGTTCAGATGTGTTCAGATGTGTTCAGAAGTGTTCAGATGTGTTCAGAATCAGAAGTGTTCAGAAGTGTTCAGAATCAGAAGTGTTCAGAAGTGTTCAGATGTGTTCAGAATCAGATGTGTTCAGATGTGTTCAGAATCAGAAGTGTTCAGATGTGTTCAGAAGTGTTCAGATGTGTTCAGAAGTGTTCAGAAGTGTTCAGATGTGTTCAGAATCAGAAGTGTTCAGATGTGTTCAGAATCAGAAGTGTTCAGATGTGTTCAGAAGTGTTCAGATGTGTTCAGATGTGTTCAGATGTGTTCAGATGTGTTCAGATGTGTTCAGAAGTGTTCAGAAGTGTTCAGATGTGTTCAGATGTGTTCAGAATCAGATGTGTTCAGATGTGTTCAGAATCAGAAGTGTTCAGAAGTGTTCAGATGTGTTCAGAATCAGATGTGTTCAGATGTGTTCAGAATCAGAAGTGTTCAGATGTGTTCAGAAGTGTTCAGATGTGTTCAGAAGTGTTCAGATGTGTTCAGATGTGTTCAGAAGTGTTCAGATGTGTTCAGAATCAGAAGTATTCAGAAGTGTTCAGATGTGTTCAGAATCAGATGTGTTCAGATGTGTTCAGAATCAGAAGTGTTCAGATGTGTTCAGATGTGTTCAGATGTGTTCAGAAGTGTTCAGAAGTGTTCAGATGTGTTCAGAAGTGTTCAGATGTGTTCAGATGTGTTCAGAAGTGTTCAGATGTGTTCAGAATCAGAAGTGTTCAGAAGTGTTCAGAATCAGAAGTGTTCAGAAGTGTTCAGATGTGTTCAGAATCAGATGTGTTCAGATGTGTTCAGAATCAGAAGTGTTCAGATGTGTTCAGAAGTGTTCAGATGTGTTCAGAAGTGTTCAGAAGTGTTCAGATGTGTTCAGAATCAGAAGTGTTCAGATGTGTTCAGAATCAGAAGTGTTCAGATGTGTTCAGAAGTGTTCAGATGTGTTCAGAAGTGTTCAGATGTGTTCAGAATCAGAAGTGTTCAGAAGTGTTCAGAAGTGTTCAGATGTGTTCAGAATCAGAAGTGTTCAGAAGTGTTCAGAAGTGTTCAGATGTGTTCAGAAGTGTTCAGATGTGTTCAGAATCAGATGTGTTCAGATGTGTTCAGAATCAGAAGTGTTCAGAATCAGAAGTGTTCAGAAGTGTTCAGAAGTGTTCAGAAGTGTTCAGAATCAGAAGTGTTCAGATGTGTTCAGAAGTGTTCAGATGTGTTCAGAAGTGTTCAGATGTGTTCAGAATCAGATGTGTTCAGATGTGTTCAGATGTGTTCAGAATCAGAAGTGTTCAGACGTGTTCAGAAGTGTTCAGAAGTGTTCAGAAGTGTTCAGAATCAGAAGTGTTCAGAAGTGTTCAGAAGTGTTCAGAAGTGTTCAGAATCAGAAGTGTTCAGATGTGTTCAGAAGTGTTCAGATGTGTTCAGAAGTGTTCAGATGTGTTCAGAATCAGATGTGTTCAGATGTGTTCAGATGTGTTCAGAATCAGAAGTGTTCAGAAGTGTTCAGAAGTGTTCAGAAGTGTTCAGATGTGTTCAGAATCAGATGTGTTCAGATGTGTTCAGAATCAGAAGTGTTCAGAATCAGAAGTGTTCAGAAGTGTTCAGAAGTGTTCAGATGTGTTCAGATGTGTTCAGATGTGCTTAGGAGCACATGATGACTCTTGCTGTGAGATTATGATACGATGTTTCATTTATATAACTTCCCTCACAAAGCCCACTGTGTTTCTGAACCCTGCAGAGATTTTTCAGACCTCTCTGAAATCATGTGACTGATATCAGTGTTTCATGAGCTGCTGACAGAGGAGCCTGTTGATGAAGGGAAACACATATCTGTTCAGCTAAGTGATTACGGAGAGCGCTGTTCAGATGTAATCATGTGTGTTTCTGTGTTTGCAGAGTGTGTATGCTGACAGCTCACAGACTCTAATGGTCAGTACAGCGTTCTCTTCACTAAACACTCCTGTGGAACATGTTCTGAACACACTGTTATAATACAGTCTATGATACACACTCAGCATGCTGGAGCTGATTTTCTTTCATTTCATCAAGTTCCTGTTTCCAGATCTCAGCGGTTACATTACACATAAATATTAATATTAAACTAAATTATTAATATAAATACATTGAGGCAGTGTGTGTGTGTGTGTGTGTGTGTGTGTGTGTGTGTGTATGTGTGTGTGTGTGTGTGTGTGTGTGTGTGTGTGTGTGTGTGTGTGTGTGTGTGTGTGTGTGTGTGTGTGTGTGTGTGTGTGTGTGTGTGTGTGTGTGTGTGTGTGTGTGTGTGTGTGTGTGTGTGTGTGCGTCTGCACCGACTTCAGGAGCCTGGTGATTTACTCATGGCATAATTCATGTTTTCACATTCAAACACATATCCTTCTTATGCAGACGAGGAGAAACAGGAAAACTCAGCCACAAAAACCAAGCACATGATTAATGAATGAGTGAATAACTCATCAGAACAAACATCTCTAAGAGCAGCACATTGTATACACACACACACACACACTGCGGTGTTAGCCGGAGTCTCTGCTCACACACTGACTGCTGTGCTAATGTTCACTGCCAGTGTTATAAATCAATATAATATATATTCATACAGTAACACAGTGTGTGTCATTCAATCACATGTGGATTTTCCAAATAAGCTGCAGTTGTGTTCACTCCCTCACCATCAGGAGACAGTGTGTATGATGAATGGATTAAGGGATGAATGAATGAATAGATTATTAAGTGACTCACCAGCAGTGGGTCCACCAGGGAGGATTTCAATAATGTGACAGTGTGTATGATGACTGGATCAATGACTGGGTGAATGACAGGATGAATGACTCAATAACTCAATTAATGGATGAATGGATTATTACATGAGTCACCAGCAGGGGGCAGCCCGTCCACTAGGGAGGACTTAAATAATGTGACAGTGTGTATGATGACTGGATCAATGAATGACTGAATGACAGGATGAATGACAGGATGAATGAATAGATTAATGGATGAATAGATTATGAAGTGACTCACCAGCAGGGTGGGCAGCCCGGCCACCAGGGCGTACAGCAGGGGCGGGGGCACAGCGCTGCGGTCCTCGGGGCCCAGGTAAGGCTTGGTGTAGGAGGTGTCGTAGCAGAAGAAGCCCTGCACGTGCACGCTGAAGGTGTCCGTGCACTCAAAGTAATACGCCAGCATGACGGTGCCCGCCATGATCACCAGCTGGAAGTACAGCATGATGCCGAGAGAGGGCGAGAGACATCAATCACAACACTGCATCTCCTCTCTCTCCAGCCTCCTCCCCCGAGCTGCAGACCCCCGCTGACCGCCTCATATCGCCCCCAAACCAAGACACAATCCACGTCCTGCTCCGCTGCTGCTGCTGTGTGTGTGTATGTGTGTGTGTGAGGAGAGAGAGAGACAGGCAGAGCGAGAGGGAGGAGGGAGAGAGAGCCAGTGAGAGAGGAGGAGGCGGGGTTAACCCACGTGTGTGTTAATGTTGCTGTGTTTTCTGAGCGTGAGGGAGGGGTGGAGGGACTCTGTGTGTGTGTGTGTGTGTGTGTGTGTGTGTGTGTGTGTGTGTTGTGGTGTGTGTGTGTGTGTGTGTGTGTGTGTGTGTGTGTGTGTGTGTGTGTGTGTGTGTGTGTGTGTGTGTGTGTGTGTGTGTGTGTGTGTGTGTGTGTGTGTGTGTGTGTGTGTGTGTGTGTGTGTGTGTGTGTGTGTGTGTGTGTGTGTGTGTGTGTGTGTGTCATAGGAAGATGGATTCCATGAGG